ATCTTCTTTTAAAAACCACTAATCATCACTTCTTCTATTACAGATCGCATTCCTTTTTGACGTAACAGCAAAACCTGATCTGCTTTGCTCTTCAAGCACACATTTCCAGTTCATTTCTGGCTAGACATGGGGGGCTGCTGCCACATATTTTTGTTATTCAACTCCCAGCTAAGTGGTATTGAACCATTTAGTACTGGTATGAAAGTGGTTTTTGAGAAGAACAGTTTTCTATGGAAACAGAGGTTACGTTTTTCAAAAGTAACAACATGATTTAGATCCTAAATTTCATTTTCAAGGATGATTTAGGCTTCAAAACTCCTAAATACTTAGGAAGAAGCCTGTGAAAATGGAAGTTAAGAACATCCTAATTTCTCACAGCATTAGCTAGTCATCACCAGTCACACTGGGAAGTCAAAAGAAGCATTATAAAGGAACTTACTTTTCACCCCGCAACCCTGTTGAGTTTCTTTTTCCAAAATGCTTGGGGGATTTTTTATCTTGCTCTTCTTTTATAGTACTTTCAATAAATATGATGCTGAAAAATTAATGTTGAGCAGTCTCCACCCGAGTTGATGAACCTTTACCCAAGCCCGGAACTGCAAACCATTGCCTGATAGCCACGAGAGACCTGCCATGCTCAGCTGTTGCCCTTTGCTCATTAGCTGCCAACATCTCCCTTGCATGCTGAACTTCAGCTCTTTGCAAGTTCTCTAGCAGCTGTGGGTCACAGCGGGTGTCAATACAGCTGTCTGTCCCAGGGCAATGGTCTCCAACACTGATGGCCCAAGGCAACAGCACCAAACAGTTAGTAAGGAGAACAGTCTGGTAGCTGGGTGGTCTCGGTATTAATGAAGTGTGTATCGGACTTTCAGACACGGAGCACCTCAGGAGATACACATCAAATGCTACCTGAGGCCTCAATTGCCAAAGTTTTTGCATGAGGTCATAAAAACTGGGCTCATCACATGTTTCTGCCAATTCATAAGGTGGCTGCTTTCCATCAAGAAAAACTCGTTCTTCCACCAAAAGAAAAATGAAAAAAAAAAAAAAAAAGAAACCATTTTCATGAATTCTCTTTAGATTAGAAAATTGCTCATCTCCTTCCTGTTTATTTAGGGACCACTTCTATAAAAATTCTGGTGTTAGAAGGCTAGAAAGGTCTCTATCTCCATATCTCCAGATAGAGAGATTCAGAGACTAATTCAATTAACATAGCTAGGCAGATGCTTTGCTGCAGATGGATTTTATAGCGTGTTATAAACACGATAGATAATCTAACGGACTTCTTAATGGGTGAAAATAGAACAGCGTCTCTTAAAACACTTGAAGATTTAGAATTATGGCAGGATAAGTCTTGCAATTCCCTGCAAAAATAAAGTTTTGGAATTTGCTGGTCTTGCCAGTCAGCTTTTGGAGGCAGAGCCAGCTTATGCTCAGTTATGTGCTAAAGGCAATAAAGGTCTGAAAACACACATGTAACCCACCAAATGTGTACCTGGTGACCCATGTGAGCTCCCACACATGCTACTATTCAATGCATCTATTCAAGCTAGATGGTTTAAAGCTCTTGAATATATATATATACACATGTATATGCAAGTGCCATCACGCATCATGGTCACGTCTTAGACATCCTGTTGTAGGAGTTTGTCCAGGAAGCAGATATACTGCTTGCCTGTCAGAAAGAAAACAGCTGCTATAAAAATCTAACTTTAATACTAATTATCTGAAACATCTGGTTAGTTAGTTTATTGCAGCAGAATACAATTATCAGTTAAATTGCCGTCCAGAGGAGACAGAATGCCTGGATTTTTTTCTCTTCTTTATTTTGTACACTTGCACTTATCTTCGTTAGAAAAAATCCTCCTGTATTGCTCTGCTGGAAGAAAGAATGGAGGTCTTGTGTCTCCAGCCAAGTACCTCAGTAGACCTAAGCTTGCCTCCTGTGAACTTTTAACACACCGCATTCCTGAGGGATCTAAGTCGAGTGCTTTAGGGATGGACAAGTGAACTGTTTGGATTTAATAGTTAATTATTGTTACACCCAAACAGTTTTTCTAGTCTAAATTGACCCAGCTTTAATTACTAATGTGTGGAATGCTAATGTTCATGGATTATCATTAGCACAGAAAGGACTTTGTAACTAGAATAGTCCCTTTTCCTTAGGGCTCAATAGTTTTGTCAACACAATTCTCAGCTATTTCTCTGACCAAAGCAAGCATTAACAATTCCTCCCCACCCCTCGTGATAATTTAAATTAAATTTCTTGCAGTCATCCTGTCAGATATTCATAAACACTTGGATAGCTGGGAGGCAATGTGCTGTCATAGATAAGGTTGAACACTACAGACTTAACAGAGTTGGCTCCCCTGAGACATTCTTGCTATATCTTGTCTGCTGGACATCTCCATGTTGAGTACCTGTGGGTTTGTGTCAACTTTCACCTTTGGGTAACCTTAGCAGCTGAAGTTTTCTTGATCCTTATTAAAACATTTTTTTTTGTTTAAATTGTTTTGTTTTTCTTCCCCCTCCCCTCCCATTTATGGTTAATCTCAATGAAATTTAGCTATTTAGTCGTGTTTTGTTACAAGGCAGGTGTAACTTATTTCATCTGTATCTAGAACCACTACCTGTGGTTTATGGGGGTCATGACTGGCATGGGAGAAGAGCTATGAAGGAGTGATGGCTTTAGTGAAGCACTTAACTCAAATCCCACACCTCAAGGGCAAAAGTGCAAACTTAGAAAGAAAATCCAAAGTTAACCATCAAGCAGTGTTGGCAACAGGAGGAAGAACAGGAGAGTAGTGACTTTCCTTAAGTAGAGCTGGTGGAAACCTCTTCTGTGAGATGTGCATCTCTACAGGTGTCATTAGAGCCATATTCCCAAACCTTCTGGATTTATTTTACAGTTCGGGGAGTTAACGAGTGCCTCATCCAGTTCAACCACACTGGAGCAGCAGTGGGTACCCATTGTGCCTGCTCTTGCTGAGGATGCAGCACAGAAAAGCAAGGAGAGGTGCTAAGAGAAGACAGTGGTCTCATAGGAGATACATCCATCCTGTGGTGTGAATTAAAAAAAATTCAACAAAAGCAGTGCTACAACCCTAATTATTATTTTGCCAGAGCTGCTCATTGCAGGGCTCTGAGCATTTTCTGCAGGGCGACTATTTCATTGCTCTCCTTGACACTGCTGTACACTGGGAGCTGCTATTAAGAGTTTGATACTCACCCAAGTGTCTAAATCCTCACCCTTCCCTGCAGCTATGGTTTTATGACAGGTGTTTGTACAGTGCAATATTAGGGCTTCTCTCTTGCCCTGTGGTCCTAGGTGCCAAGCTAGTTGCAAATCACTGTTAATTTGGTGTAATTGTGAGAGCTATAGAGGAATGTCATCTTGAGAGCCACCTTTGGGGCACGCCTGTGGCAGTCTGCAGGCTTGATGCTTGTTCTGCCCTTTCATCTGGCAGAGTAGATGCTTCCACCTGGCTGCTAGGAGGTCATAGCGCAGCATTATGTGTTGGAAAATAACGTTCCTGAGAGGCCTGCTTTCTGCTTTATTCAAAATTATGCCAGTGAAGTTAAAGTCAGACGCAGCTGTCTTGGATATCACTCTCAAACTACACCCATCTGGGTTTCTCTCTGGGACTGTGCAGCCATGTTAAGGCCAATTTTCATTTGCTTTAAGCTATTTGGATGAAAAGAAAACTCATGTGCTGCCAAAATGGATTTGCATGTAGCATAAATCGTGTCTCCTCAGCACTCCTGCCTGGTCCTACTGTGCGCATTTGTCTGAGAGAAGGCTTGGATGTAAAGGAAGTGAGGAATAACTTCAGATATGTTCAAAGAGCAAGGAAGAAGACATAAATAAATAAGAAACCACAAGATGCCAGCCAAGAGGCTTTTCCTTGGGATTTCTTTGAAATTGTAATTCTCTGGTGCAACATCTTGTGGGTCACCTGGCACAGGAGGGAGGTGACAGGAGAGGATTTTGATGATCTACCAGCATAGAAGGGGAGTATGAGTATGCACATCAGCCAAGTGTGTACAGCAGAAGGGAGGGTTGAGATGGGTACGGCATGTAGATGGATCAGCAGTCATCATTTCCAAGATACCACGATGCCAGCAGCTTTAATGCAATTTCTTTCTATAAACACTTCTGACTTTACTGCCTTGCTATTTTGAGTCCTGCTGGAGACTTGGACTCATTAAAAAGGCATTTCCTTCAGACAAGCTGATTAGATAGCTGTTCCTTCCCCCAGATGATGAAAAGCTGGAGAACACCTTAGTGAGACTAAAAATTGCAGAAAATTAAGACACATTATTTTAACAAGAGGTGCTGGTTCACCTTGAAATCTCCTACTACGAAAACAGTTTAAAAAAAAAAAAAAAAAAAAGAGGAGATTCATAAATGCAAGAACTGGATGACATGTCTACAATCTACATTGTATAAACCTGGCTCCTAACCTCTAATTATGGTTTTCCCAAATAAATGAGACTCAAATCTGAAGGGAGCTGAGTAATCTCTAATGTCATTGACTCCACAAGACCTGAGGGCATGCGACACTTTTACAGGGAAAGTAAGCACCCAGCAGGATCGTAGTCTAAATGGGAATCAGAATGACTTCTGAATTAAAGCAATGTGATTTAGCAAGCACAGTATAATTGTGGAGTACCTGCAAATATTGACATCAGCCTGACGCCTCATTTAGTAGGAAAGTTAATTTGCAGAATCAGAAATTGAAAGGCAAATTACTGGACAATAGACTACCACTTTTCTCACTGTTAATCAGCATCTCATAAGGAAGTGATTGTCCAAACTATAAGGTGGTACACAAGAAAAATATTTAATTTCTTTATTCTAAGGATGAGACATTAAACTCTAACTCTAGGAGATAATTCTATTTAGTCAGTCAAAAAAAAAGAGGGGGGGGGGGGAAGAGTGGATGTGGGTGTGAATTGTTATCTGTTTGTATTTTACAAATTGTTGTGTATTTATGAAACAACTAAGATCCCAATGGCAGGAACACCTTATTACAAATGTTCTGCTTTCCTGCCACTGTCACACTCCGGAAAATGTTCTTGGCCAGACTCATCCGTGGCTGATGATGCAGCAGAAGGCAATGTTCCCTGGAGTCAGTAAGAATTTGTCTTCCAGGTGGCGGGGTGGTACAAGAAGTGATGGTGCCATCTTTTGTGTAGGAAGTCACACCAAGCTCTCACACAGGCACAGTTGCTGGTGATACACACTACTTCTGCCCAGCTCTGAGCATCAGAGTCTTAGTGTGTCAGCCCAAAGTTCATCCCTGGGATTACATTGTGGCCCTTTACTTTGTTTTTCTTTTTTTTTTTTTTTTCTCCCCTCTCTCTGCTCACCCCCCTTCCAACAACCACTTTCTACCTCATAAGTAACTTCACGTAATAGCAAAATGAAGCAGAAGTTTATATGCAAGTTTTCCGTGTGTTTTGGACCATAGGGGCTGTAAGTGCTTTGAAAGCACCTAGGGTTCTAACCAGACACAAAACAGCTGTTCCCTTGCACTTCTTGCTAGATAATAATTTGAAGGACCCAATACTTATAAATCACATTGGCTACCTAATAAACAAATTATGTACAGAGATACTCAACAGCATCTTGAAATCTAGCCCTGTGTGCACAGCCTGACTTCCTGTCAAGCCTTTTATTTACTGTCCACGATGATATTCTCTGTGGATCTTGAACTTTTGCATGAATGCTTTCAATCTGCCGTTCATGCTTCCTTTACTCAGCACAGTCATATTTTGTTCTCTGGATGTTATGTGCAGCATGAATCTGTCTCATGACACTGGTCCCTGAGTTTATTGAAATTACTGGTGTATCTGTTTGCAGAATTGACTTTATCAAAATTTCTGACCTGGTAGCAACGTGTTTTAGGGCTTTTCTGGATTAGCGTGGATCTTCCTCTTGGAAGTGATTCTCGTGTGTGATTTTTACAGTGAGTTTGTAGTATTAGAGTCTGTAATACACCTTGCAGTACGCGGCAGGTGAAAGACCTGCCACGTACCACTGTGGGCAATATTCTATCAAGCTAAGATAAGGGTCTTTCTTCATGGGACAGTTTTAAGCTAAATATAGAGCAGATAATTTTAAAAAATGTCCTCTGCTCTCCACAAAAGAACCAAGACTATTAGCAAACACAAAGTAGGAGCAGTGCAAGCAGAAGGAGGAGCTGCATTGACAGTGTCTGTTGTGCTGTTGCATGCCAGCTTCTCCAAAGGAAAGCAGCTCCCATAGGCCAGTTTTTAGGTTTTTTTTTGGCCAGAACTGGACTCTCTTGCCCCATCAACTAATGCGTGATACCAGTTCAGTTCAACAGCAGCTTCTTAGCAGCTACCAGTGCTGTTGGGTGTTACCTTATATACTTATGTAATTTCAGTTGAGCTAACTTGATGTAAAAGAACACCCTTTTGTCACCTTAGCTATACCAATGCCTTCGGGCACCATAAGGTCAGTCACCATCTTTTTGACTGATTACATATCCCTGAGCTGAATAGCGATCTCCTGGGTTCACCTTAATAAGCAATGACGTGCCTTCGAAAACTGGCAGCAACATGAGAATATAGTGAGTATTTTTGCCAAAAATAAATGTTTCTCTTGGGTCTCATACTCTGCTATAAGCTCTTGTAGTAGTTGACTTCCAGCATTGTTGACAGCCTTTGGTCCTCAAGAGGTTCATACACAGCTTATGAGAAGCAAGTAGAGACCCTAGGAAAGAAGTTGGATAATTTTACTTATTTCATTCTAGAGGATGGTGATTAGTCCTCACCGTGCTCTATTGCTTCAACTTTGAGAAGTAGCAGAATCCCTAAATTCCTCCGAGTCTGTGAAATCAAGTGAGACTGAAGTGTCTGTAACACCCTGTTGTAATAAATAATGTCGGAGTATACTAAATGGAATTTAAGGCAACAGTCATCTGTCATAAACACTTGAACTGAGTGCAAGACAACCTTTATGAAGGCACTACAATAGGCTGCAGACCGTGCTGCTGCTGATTTCTTGAGGAACTGTAGGCATCCAAGGACCCTCATAGTCCTGCTATAGCTTTTTTTGTCTTTAAGGCCTTAGCTGCAGGAAATTCCTCTTATGAAGGGCCCTTACAGCATTGCTGTGAAGGAGTCTAATCTCTCTGAAGTAATGATAAAAATGCAGGACTGAGGAATGCAGAGGAGACGGGAGTTGTTGACCTCACTGGAACTCGGATAAGTCAGTGGAAGATAAAGAGAACTGCACCGACCTCCAATATAAAAACAGGGCGATGCAAGGAAAGGTCAAAGAATTAAAACAAGTCATTTGATAGCACCTCAATAAGGCAGCAAAGAGTTTCTCTACTTGACCTTTAAACAAGCAAGGCCAATTGTGGAAAAAAATGGCCAATTCCTATCGCTTTACAGTAAGTAATGGAGCTCACAGTTTTGGCTGCCATAAAAGAACAGATCTCCTGTGACCGACCCCTCAGCAGAAAAGCAGGATATGAGAGAGGAGGGTTTTACTAAAGGAGATTTGCAAGCCTATTATCTTGATGCTTCTCAAACACAGCCCCATCTGAATCCAATTCTAAGCATTTAATGAACATGGAGAAAACGGAGCAAAATGAAGAGCAACAACAAGAAAAGTCTGACAGATTCTTATAAAAACTGTTTTCATGCTCCACTTTTCATTGACATTTTAAGAAGAAAATATTTGGGTTACAGAAAATGCCCTGAAAGCTCCAACATGAATGTTTGCTGTTTAGGTAGAGTGACCTGCAGGTGAGCACTCAGCAGTTAGTTTCCATTTAAAAAGAGCCACAATTTCTCTCTCCTACATTTGCAGAGTGTGAAGAGTTGTCTGCAAGCAAAGAATGACATTCTGCTAACGCTGAGGGGAAGCATAGCAGAGAATGTCATGGCTAGTTCAAGTGAATTAAAAGATAGTTGATCTCTCACTACTCATTTAAAATCCCCTCCCTTCTAGATTAAGAAACTAGTCCCAGCTTCTTATACGTAAGAGGGGGCATCAAGAGTTTGGACTCATTCCCCCACTAAAATTGTTTATTTACCCAGGGGAGACCACACGCACTTAAGAAATTTACTGACAGGGCCTAACCTAGTGAAACAAATGGTCTTGAAAAATTGTTTTCAGAGATATTTAGTGGCATTTGATGCCATAAAACCACCACAACTATTATCGTCACCACAAGGAGGAGAATTATGTCCCATTGCCAACCCCAGCTCCCTAATTTCTTCTTCTGGTCTGCGCAGGAGATACATGAGTAATGACAGCCACTTGTGAATATCATCCAGTATCAACCTTCACAGCTGTATCTTGGCTTCTTTTCTGGCGTTCAAAGTCTCTTTTCTGAAAACATCCTGACTATCAGTTACCGAGGATATGTTTGGTTGCATAATTATAGATGAAGGACAGTTGTACAGAAGGCAACATATATATCTATGCTAATATAAAAATCTCCCTGTAAATCAATCATAAATGTCTCTTCAATGATTTATGACCAGTATGTGGAAGCTGAGAGATAGCTTTGAATGCAGATTTTATTATAAATTATTTCCTAGAATTTTCATCCTAAAGGCAATCGGTTACTATTATTAATAGTCTGTGTGCATCACATTGAAGCGAAATAGAGTACAACGTCTTAAGACAATAAATAACATCAACAAACTTTCTTGTACAACTTCCTCTGTGTGGATATATATCATTAGTCTTTTCCCAAGCAGAAGAGCCTTGATTCTTTCCTGTCTTAAAACCAAAGAAAAATTGCAGTTCTGAAACAGTGCCGTGAAGTTGTACTTCTGCTAAGAGAAGGAGAATCAAGCTCTTTTCATAAACAAACAAACAAATAAATAAATAAGCTTTTGTAGTATTCAACTTTGTTGTTTTACATAAATTGCAGCAGTGCTGAACTGACCTGTTGGGATCGAAGTTCCAGAGGCCCCACTCTGCCAAGTACAAAGTCTGTCTCCACTCTTGTCTTTGTAGATATTCATTTACCACCTGCACCATACGATACAGTAACGATCATTCACTGATTTTCACTGCAGTCATTCAATTACATCAACATATTTTTTCTTGATCAAGCTGAGTAGACTGCCAGTGAACTAATGCTGCGGTTTGCCAAAATAGCTCATTACCAGATCTGATCAAAGTATTTATATCGTACTTTCCTTACCGTTGTTTTTAGTGAGAGTTGCTTTCCCTGTAATAAACGTGCATATTTGTGTGAAATGTTTGTGATTTTTTTTTTACTGAAACAGTATATTTTGTTTACTTGATTTTCTGTCACATTTATTATTTCAGTAAATAAAAATTACAATGTTGATTTTCATACCTTTTATCTATCATTTCCTCTGCGTTTATCAGAGAAATTCATTGAAAAATGTAAAAACATATCCATTCTAAGCTTCAAAATGGAAACTGAGACATCAACATTTTTGTCAAATTGCTTTTTCTATCTTGACTAATTAGCCAGCTGTAAGGGCAGAAAGTATCTTATAGCTCCCTGTGTATTATGAATTAGTGTAATACTGCTGACATTACCCAGGGAAACCATAATGGTTTTCACATCCTACTGAGCTTTTTGTGGTTTTATTTTTCCTAATAGCAGCATTAGAGGGGCACATTTACTTGCTTGACCTGATTTATGAGTACATTTTATTTGTGGGGAGATTAAATTCTGGTGGGTTGGATCTGTTTGGGTTTCCTCGATAGCCTCTGATTAGTTTTGGTACCGGTAGCCCTCGCAGTAAATCAGGTGTCTCAGCTGATTGACAACGAAGTGAGTCTGTGACTCATTACCTGGTAGACGAGCCTTTGCTCGTTTGGTAACTCATTAAGCTGAGGAGATTATTTACAATATTTGCAGCCACCCCAGCCACGGTGGCACTTAGGGCACTCAAAATTTCCATATAAAATGTGAAATATTTGGTAGTTCATAGATGACTCATTAAGATTTGAACTTCAAGATATGCTTTTCTGAGGACAGCTCATCTGGGTGGTGAATGTGACCATCACTGAGCTCCAGTGGTCACCTGGCAGCACAAAGAATGTCCCCTGCCTTTGTCCAAGGTTAATGTATGTGAGGTTTTCTTTGAAACTCAGTATCTCTGCAGTTCTTTAACCTGCACACCGAAGTGCAACAAAGAAAGTGCATCCCTAAAGACACGCAGGTCCCAGCTGCCATGCTCATTTTTTTGGAAGTCAGCCACGTAGGTCCTGTAGAAACTGCACAAGGACAGGCTTCAAGGTGGAGGTGGCATGAGCACTGCTGAGATTAAGAAGTCCCTGAGCCTGGAAGCATGCCTAAGATGAGCCTGAGGGCAAGATAGTGCCTGATGCTTGCAGAGCATCTGAAGTCGCTCCTAAAAGAGGAAAATTACAGCAGCAAGTTTAGTGGTTGATCATCTCTGTTATTAATCATCAACATATTTCATTAAATTTCTTTCTTTTTATCATGTTTTGATGTTAATGCTAGTAAAATTTTAGTGCTCAAATACACTCCTTGACTCCATGAACTGTCATGCCATTCTTAAAAACTCACAATTGTACCAGCGCATCTACACTTCAACAGCAAAACCAGTCTCCAAATTGCTGTGTCCACCTTTACGGCCCTGCCAGAAGGATCCTGGCCCTTCTCATTGTGATATTTGTTTTATCGTCACTTGGATGCCTTGTCTGTCACTCGGATGGCAAGCAATCCGAGACAGGGTCTGTACTCATGTTTTCCATTAAGCGGCGAGCACACAGCAGAGGCAGAGGGGGATATTAAATAATAATGACAATAATAATACATCTGATAGAGTTCAGTTCCGCTTTAGCACTAAATGGAAAGCTGAAAGCCTCCCTATGGATCTTTTCCATCTTGAGCATCAATGAGTGTAACAGATGCATCAGTTTTAAATCAGCGCCTTGCATGACAAATAATACTGATCCATGTGGTTAGGAAATCTGGGCCTAACTGGCACAGTTTGGTTGGCTGCAAATGATGCTGCTGTGTCTGCAATGTCACCTATAAAATCTATAGATGGGGACCACTTTTTTAACTGGAGCAAAACAACGTAGATTTCTTGAAATGGCACGAGTCCTTTACCTCCAACTTGATATGACCCTTATGAAATAAAAATAAAAATGATGAAAATAAGACTTTCTTTTATGATTTAAAAAACACCTGCAAACAGGAAAGGATTAGTGAAAACCAAAAGAGGAATGAGGAAACAACTGGCGATGAAAACCACTGATCCATTTAAATACAGATGAAACAATTTGGCCATGCACTGGGAAGGAATATTAAACAGATACAAGCTATTAATTTTCACTGAGGGTCAGCCTGGGAGCTCGAATAGAAGGCAAGGTTCAAGTTAACCCTTCACAGCAGGGAGGATCTCACCATAAATCACAGGTTCTTCCTGAGCTCACAGACATTGCAATTTGGGGTCAATTGTGTTAAAGTGCAAGGAGGGGTACATCTTCCTTGTCTCCTACCAGCATTGTGCTCAACATGCCAATCTCTGCTGGGGGCTGCTGATACAGCTCCTGTAATATCTGGGAGATGTTTTGGACAGGTGGTAATGTTTGTAGAAAGAAGGGACCATTTGGAAAGTGGAAACTCATCAAAAATTACCAGGAAAGCTAGCAAATGGCAAAATCGGGATGAAGAAATATCGATCCCTCTCATTTATTTCTTACAGTTCCAGGGGGAAAGGCTGTGTGGTGAGACCAGCCTCCATGAAACATGCAGTTTCTGCTATTAGGGCTTCTCCTGGGAGCAGAGACCTTCCAGCTCATAGGTCAGCATCATATATTGCAAACTCCCTGCCAGCTGGACTCTCCCGGTGGTTTTTAATGGCTTCAGAATTTGAGCATCCTCCATGGTGAGCTGAACAAACACGAAACTTGTATAAGACTTCAGGAGGTCACTGGCTCACCTTTAGTTTTGAGGTACAAACTCTGCCCAGTTTTGCTGGAGAGGAAGAAGGATGCTGGGAAAATATGGGCACTTAATGCGAGGAATTTCAGCCTTGATGCATTTATTCTGAGCACTCCTCCTATAACAGAGCACTTACCACCTCTCAGCTGTCTACCCAGCCAACTTTTTGTCCTTGTCCTTAAAAAAAAATAAAATAAAAAATTAAACTGTACAAGAAATCACTGCATTTGTCCACAGGGGACAATAAGTGCCACTCTACTCAAACCTTACTACTCTTTCAACTATTCCATTCCCTACTGCTAAAAATAACAACGTGAATGCCTTTACATCAGTCTTTTCTATTACGATTAAGACTGTGCCAGTCATAAAGGTCACCATAAGATAGACTACAGACCACAAATCCCCACCTGCCAGCATGACCAACATGTTAAACACTGGAGTGCAGCTTGGTCAAGTGACTAGTCTAGAGTGAGAAATGAAATCAATACCCACTCTGGTGAGAAATGTTAAAGATGAGCATCCACCGTCGGCTATATTCAGGTGGCTGAGAGTCTGGAGTGCCTTATTTTCATGTTTTTACCCTAGAAGTTACCTTAAAAATCACCCCTGAAACTCTGTAGCAATGGCAACTTACTCCTGCAAGCCTGTCTTTGAGTTTATCCAGGTATTCCTGCCGGGAAGGACCTGCTCTGCCTGGCTGTACTGGGGAAGATTTGGGTTGCTTCTGCCTGTGAAAAACTCTCCAACAAAACTGTTGTAGCTGGTTGAGGGGGATTGTATTTCTATCCCTCACAAGAGAAATATTCCAGGTATAGCTAGATGCATTTTTAATGATCCAAATGCAAGTCGTGTGGAGTAAAAGCCCTTATGCCCCCTGTTCTCCCTTCCCAACTCTCTCTGTTGTGTCATATCCTTCCAAGACAAAAGGCTTGTAAGTGAAATATATTGTGCATAAATCCTGACAGTAACTGCTTTTCCTAACGAGATCCTTTAACCACGTTTGTAATGTGTTCAGCACCAAAACACACGGCAAATCCATCAATGGTGATTTCAATAACCTCTGCCACCACTATACCGTGTTACATCTTATTGAATCTGATTTAACCATAGATGTTTATAGAGGGCAGGTTGATCTCTGTCTCCATAACTATTTTTCAGTTGTATCATTCTCTATTTGGTCTTCGAAGGCAGCTCGATTTTCTTCTTCTACATTTTATTTTGCTTTCAAAGTTGCCTTAGTCAAGCAAACAAATGGGAGTTCAGATTGATCTTATTTCTGTTTACAACAGGTTGATCTTGAGTTCAGAAGTATCACCATTTAAAAAAGAACTGAAGTTTTAGTCATGAATACTGGAGTGTGTTTTATGTGCAGCCTTCTGGTCTTGGAAACAAAGAGAAAAACTGAAGCGTTTAGCAAGTATGCTCCTTGAATATGTATTTTCAGGTCAGCCTTAAAGGCAGCCTCTTCTTCACAAAAGCAAATCCAATACTGAAGCTGTAAGTCCAGACGCATTCTTAAAACTTGGCCCCATCTGAAAAATAATTAATAAGAAGAAATAAAATTATGTTTGTGTAACCTTTCCATAGAAGATACCTCTAATTGGTACAGATATCAGTGCAAAGAGAAGCACTTGGAAGAAGCTTTGATTACAATTCACATTGGGACACTGCTTACTAAAGGGCAATCACTTCTTTCATTAATTGCTTTAAAAATAAGATTTAGAGAAAGCTTCTTATGAAATAATTATGGGACTCTAATGATTCCTGTTGCAATCTATGGCAATGTTTCCATTGAGTTCAGTGGGAGAAAGTTGTACCCTCTCTTTCAACAGCAGCAAGCAAAGCCACAGCTTGGATCAGCCCGTTTGTTTCACCTGGGTTTGGTTTTAAGGAAATTGGCTGCTGAAGAGGTGAGTGTGGCAGAGAAATGCCAAAGCTGCAGGTCTGGTTCTGGCTGCTGAATGGAAAACACATGCATAGCAAACACCTCAAAAAGTGCAAGAGAGAAAATTAAGTCTGGATATGTTTCATCTCTCCAGGCAATTTTTCTTCCTAGGTTACAAGAATCTATTCTTTTCGGTTGTTTAATAAAAAAAAAAAAGTCACAGAGTGTAATTGTTAAAACGAGCGGTGGGAAATGCAACAGCCTGACAAGAAATTACATGTCTTATTTATCTCCACCTAAGTTGCTCCTCCAGGAGGTGCGTGCTGGTGAAATGTATTGCATTCGAACGTGCGCCTCCGATGCTTGTCAGAGTTATTTCCCCATGGCTCTGCAGCAGTTTCTTCCCCACCGTTAAGTCCTGTAGGTAAATACAAACCCAGGCCTGGACTACCTATGGTCATACTAGAGCCTTGTTCCTCCCCTGCCCTTGCTATTAATGCTGAGGCAGGAATGAAGCAAACGAGGCAGAACTGGAGTTCTGTGGGTGGCCTCCTGGCTGTAGGAAAAATTAAATCAAAGCTCAAGGAGTAGATATCCCTGGGGAAGAGGGTTGGTGCTTACAAGCTTTCTCTGCAGATGCTTGAAAAACTGCCAGAGCACGATGCACAGCACGCAGTCCAAGACCAACGGGCTTTGGCTGGAGTATAGACCTGGAAAGGTATGACAAGAAGAAAATAACACTTGGGGTACATTTATTTCATGGAAGGTGCAGAATAAAGTCAGATCCTGATTAACCAGATTGGAATTCTTCTGTGCAATGATTTAACAGGATACTGATGTGCCGATAGCATTTGCACTCAGCTTAGTTAATGTTGGTACATCACACTCCTGTCCTACAAAAATACGCTGGCTTTCACAGATAGCAATCTGAGGGCATCGAGGGTCTGCTGGGATGGATGGCTTCTTCTTCTGAGGAACTTAGCTACTATTTTGATCAGTGCAGTGTAAAAAACCTGAAGGGAATTTAAATTAGATTTAAATTATTTCTTCAATTTTGCCGTCCTTATGTATATTGGGAAGAAAGAGAGCAAGCAAATAATGAACAATATTGCAATTATACCTTCAGAGCGTTTGGCTTATGTAGGGCAACTGGGCCAGCAGATGGTGAATGCAATTTGATGTACAAAAGTATGAAATAACTGATCTGGACAGAAGGATTAAAGTGGTGTGTGTGTATAAATTGCACATGGATCACAAAAAGTATATTGGGCTATTATGGGAAATCACTGAAGCCTGAGCACAGATGCTGCAAAAGACAAGAAATCAAACTGCACTGGCACAGTAACAGAAACAAAGACAAAAGGTGAGAGTGCTATTGTTTTAGTCTTTTGTGCATGGTGCATGCTTTGATCCACAGGAAGGAGAGAGCTGCCTTGGGGCGAGGCACCGAGGGATCTAGTTGGGAGCAGAAAATTCACAGAGACTGGGCTAACTGACAGAGTAAGCTACCAGAAGACGTGATTATAGAAAAACATCTTTAAGGAAAGGCTCCATCAGGGTGTTGCATTTCTTATACTAGCCCTCAACAAGACAGAGCATCTTATTAGCGTTGGCAAAGTGGGCCTGGGTGGGGAAAAAAGGCCAGGCTCACTCTTCCAAAGCACAATGCAAGCACAGAATATGTAAAATGAGGACACGCACTTGAGAGTACTTAATGAGAAGCACAAAGTTTTTAGTTGGTAATAGCCACTTAATCAAATAGGCCTTATATAAAGTCCTTCTAATCCTAGCTCATCAGCTGAAGTTATGCATCGCTGGGGTACTCCCAGGACAGAACTATAGTTTAGCTGGTAAAGAAGACTAAACAATACCAGGAAATTTGGGTGATGCTTCTGGTTGTGTTGCTCACTCCCTAAGGGGATGTGTGCACTGGTGGGGATCCCTGGGGACGTCCTGGCTGAGCTGGCTCTCAACATGGGCTGGGGGATGGCAGACACCGATGTGCCTACATTGTTTTGGGAGCCTCCCTCTGTGTCTGCACTGCTCCATGTGGAAACGTTTGTGTTTCCTGCTGAGCTTTTCTAACAAATGAGTGGTGCCATGGAGTCTCTGCTGATCTGAACTTATGTCTTATTGCCTTCATGCTTGGGGAAGATTATAATGTATGGCTAGCACAGACCAGCAGGACATCACTGTTTTCCTTATTTCCTAGCTGGCTAAGGTACTTTTGGCTGGACATTTGGTGGGTGGAGAATTGCTTCAGTTCATTTCCCATCCGTAACCGAGTGAATCAACTCATTTAGGCAGAGCTCTGATTAGCAGACCTGGTGTAGAGGCATGAGGAAGTTCTTACTTGCTTTTCTGTCCACCCACAGTCACACAGTCCAAAATCAAATTAAACCTTCACCCTAGAAATGTGTCCTTTTGTGTGATGCGCTTAATTCCTGCAAAGGACCCCAGAGTGCTGAGGAGTCAGAATGGCGCAGCCTTAAGGGCTGAAGAGCAGTAAAAACCTGACTTTTGGATTTAATGTCTGGAATAGAAAATAAGAGTGCTGGAGAAAATCAGTTTAGGGGAAGTAAAAATGGATATTTTAAAAAAAAAAAAAAGTTTTCTCCAGCTTTGGATTATTTACCTTTATAAACTTTTCTCCCTTTTAAAAAATCAGTTCTAGGTCAATTTTTTCAGTAAAAATTCCTGTCTCAGCATGAAGAGGCAAATCCTTTCAGCTTGAAAACCTACTCCTGCAAATGCCATGCCAGAAGTGAGATATTTCGTTTGAAAAATGTGTACGTGGAAGTTAGGACATAAGAATCTGCTCCCCTCACTTTTTCTGTCCTTCATTGTTAGCCTAAGTCAGCTCGAATGCATAGTCTCAGTCTGTCTGAATCACTATTAGGGGGAAATGCTCTTGCTGAAAATACTTTAGCTGGATCCTTTTCTAGAGCCACCAAATCCTTAGATACAAGTTCAGTTTTGTCTTCTTTTTTATTCCCTTCTTCAGAAATCTGGGGGCTGACAGATGGAAATGAGAAATATGCTAACTTGTTTGACTGTTTCTTGCTCTTTCTCTGCTCCCGTGGATGATCTCCACTGCCCCAAATCCCCAAACCTGCCTACATCTACAAAGGAGGTGTCAAGCTGGAAGACAGGCCAGTAATATATAAACCAGGAGCATGGGTAAATTTGTAGTAATTAAGGTGGAGACCTGAAAAAAAGCAACCCTTAAGGGATAAGTTAGTATTAGTTAGCTTTAAAAGAAATTGCAGGAGTGTGCTCAGACCTTATTAGTGGATATTCCCTGGGTAGAGAATACATAGGACATCTTAAGAGTTAAGCTGAAAAAGAAAAGCTTCAGCAAGGGTTGCTTGGCTCATACGAAGGCCAAGAAGGATTTCATTTAAATTTAATTTAGTGAGAGTTTTCTGGCTAAGAGATGTGACCTGCTCTCTTTGAACCTTTGCTCTTAGAGCAGAATTCGCCAACATGCCACCTCTCCAGCTCCGGCAGTAGGCAGAAAAGACAGGCTGAGTACAACAAACTGCCTGCACCAGCAAAGAAAACCCATAGCATGGGTTCCAAAGCAGGTACTGGAAAGAAATTGGACCCCAAATACATGACATGTGAAACGAGGCAGCAAGGAAAGGCCGTTGTCCCAATCTCCACCAGACCCCACCTTTAGCAGAGAAAAATTGCTGATAATTAAGTGTTATATTTGGCACGTGGTGTCTTTTGGCTTTCTTAAATTCTATCCCTTCTCCCTGAATTTGTGAGACAAAATGTGGTGTGGCTCAGCAAAGTTTTTGATACCGTGCCTCCATCCTACGATGGAGCTCCTCATGGAGATGCCAACACAGGCCTAGTGGTGGCAGAGCCGTGGTGACGTCTGGTGACACCTGCAGCTCCGCAAACAGGCTGGCTCTCCCACATCCTAACAGCTCGCTAATACTGCTTCCTGAGCTGCACGTACTGCCTGGGCACGGATTAAGCCTCTCTGCATTGCACAGTGTGACCTCTTCTTTAGTTGTCCTCATTTGCCAGAATTTGTCCCTGCTGTGAGCCAGGCCCCTTGTGCAGCCCAGTCCCAGAGAAAAGCCTTGGTGCTGGGGCTGCACGAGTAAGTAAAAAAGCGCGATTGCCCCCAACATGAAAAAAGAGAGAAAGTGAATTTTGTAGATAAATAAATGCATTCAAGCCTGGAGTGGGGGCTGACAGCAATTCTGCTCTCTCAAGTGGCTAAGCTGGCCTGGAGCTCCTCACTGCAATCCACGGTGCCTCCAGCGCTGCTCTCCATCTGACGCCTCACCCAGACAGAGCTTTCCTCTGCCCCAATCCCCTCCCCGAGCAGCACAGGCATGCTGGCTGCAGTAGTGCTTTCTGATATTGAGAACAAGGGGCGTTTCTGAAGCCTTTTACATCTCTGTAGCATCTCGCAGATACTCACTCATGTTAACTCTCTGGCAAGTCAACGCTGCTTGCCATCAATTCTTTCTGTTCATTTTAGTGCAAAAGGTTGAAAGGAAAAGATGCTGGCACAGTGCTTTCACTGGCAGAAAGCCAAATCAAGTGTGGAAGACCCCCATTGGTTATAATTAGAGATATAGATCATCTTCTCTCGCACTGTCAGTGCAAGAAATGTGTTTAGTATTTAAAGGCATGGGGACACAGTTCCTTATGACATTTTTCTTGTTCTCCACAGATAGCGTCTTGCAAAATCAGATGGTTAAACAAATGTAATTAAGCAAATTTCTTTTGATTATTGGTCATTCTTTGTAACTTGAATTTAATAACTGTACTACATAAAACACTAGTTTTGTTTTCTTTGTTGTCAAATGCAAAAATCATTTTTTTGCCTGTATCCAGTATCAATAAAATGAAGTCTGCATAGTCCCATACCCTGGTCACACTCCCTGACGTCAACCCAGATAACGCATCATTTAATCCAGAAGAAACAAACTGTTGTCAGGTCTGTCACCTTTAGGAAAAATATCATCCTTTTTTCTTGCTCCTGGCTTATCTCCGAAGTACTTCTCACTTGACTGACTCCAGTTTTGATGATTAATCAACCTGTTTTCAGGCACCTAAAAAAATACCTTTCTCGAGCAGAAAAGGACCTGGATATTAACTCTGGCAGCATTGTGCTTGTATACAGACCCATCACTGCTGTTTGTTAATCATGGTGGTGTGCCTAGCAGTTGGGGTTTGTAGTGTTTGGGGAAGTCTGAACTCCAGTCGGATCCATCCATCTATTGTCTCTCTTTTGAGCACATTGTCTAGTGATCTAATAACGACCACAGTTCAGCCTTTGCCTCAGCTGAAAATTGGATTCAGATGAAAACTGACTTCAGGTGAAAGCTGGCAGAATTTGACCTCCAGGCCCGGTAGTTTGGAGGAAGGTTAGGGGCAGACGTGAAGACACAGGATAATCTCCTGAACCTCAAGAAACCCAGCAAACAGCAGTTAAAAAAAATGACTGGAAAAAAATGCTACACTCAGTGCAATCATTATAAATGTATCCGTAGGGCTTATCTCAGGGAAAACCCACCTATTTGGCTGGATGTCCCTGCCCTTCTCCTTTTGCCCTTCGCTGTTTTGTAGCCACAACCAGCAACGATTCTCCCCTTTCCTCCGGCTGAATTCAATCTCCCACCACAACGGCAGCTGGCACCACCTCAGCAGACACAGAGACATTTTGGGCACTGCCAAGCCCATTCACATTGCCAGAGGAAGGATTATTATCTGCTGAATCAATGAGACCTGTGTCAAACTCAACTGTCTTTCCAATACCCTGAGCACTTTACTGCTGCATATGTCTGAGGAAAGGGGAACTATTTAGTGATAAATACTGAGGTGCGATCTATATCCCATTGCTGCAGGTGTTGTATGCTCTAGGTTGTTTCCATGTATATGGAAACGTGAAATAGATGCAATAGGTATTTGTACTTCTCGAGGCATGCATTTGGAGCTATGAAAGCTCAGAAAAAGACCTCCCTGTCTGGAAATGAAGTAACAGTCACAAAGGTTAAAAAATCTTGAGTGGCAAAGTTTGGGCTCTAGTTATAAAACAACTGCGGTGTTAGAACTGTGCGTGGAAATTTTTCAGGTCATCCCAGCAAAGAGGAGTTTGTGTAAGCTCCCTTTCCAGTAACACTTTACTCAAACCCCTGCACAAACAAATACACAAATGCTGGCAGATGCCCCCCTGCATAGAGAGAGCTGGCCACATAGCAGGCACCATGTGTGAGAAGTATACTTTGTCCCACACTGCTTGAAATCCCAAAGATTTCCAGAGAAGTGCAAACATTGCACTGTAGGTTGGCCACTTCCACCCCTTGCAGTAATCTGAGTTCTGCCTCTAACTTCTGCCAGCATTTTTAAGCAGGGCTGGGGCAGCCTATATCTATAAATACTCCTCTTCCACACCAATATTTGAAATTCCAGCTGATCAAATTCTGTCTGCTACGCTGCTTTTTTATTTATTACACATTAATGCTTTGTGATACCCGTCCCATTTCTCTCTCCTCTTGTCACTGCTAGGTGAGTCTTGCTAGGACATGCTCAGGCTCTGGAGGTTTAAAAAAATGTGTGTTTTTCCCAAACTGAGAGCCCTGTAGCTCTCAGCCCGTGGTGTTTCCAGGATGTGAAATAACTCAGTCAGCAGGACAACATGTCAGTCACTAGCACAAGCCAAAAATAGCCCATGCACAGCCAAAGTCAAAGGGCTAATATGGTGCACTTAGAGCAGATGTTTAAAAGCTTGTGCATGAGCTATACGCTTATTAGACAGCCTGGATCAACTGCAAAAGGCCTTTGGGAAGTGTTAAAGCTCTTGGCTAGGACACTCTCGTCTCTGTTGGAGGCACTGGAGATTAGTCATTCTTAATAGTTAAAAAAAAAAAAGCGCTAACCTGGTCTGAAGTCTTGCTCAGAGGTCTCCTGGCCCTGACGTCATTCTCGTTTTGCGCCAAGTGTTCATTAAATGCACCAGGAGTTTGGTCTCAGGAAGAACTATCCAGGGATATTTATGGCTCAGGAGAGTGTTGTCTTAGGGAGAATGGGGGAGAAGCAACTGCTTTAGAAATGGGGAAAGTTGGTAAATATGAAAGGGCAAGAGATATTTTACAACAACAAAATAAATATTATATTATTCATATAGGTTTGTATATATATAAATATATTAAAAAACACAATATGTTAGTAACACAATATATTAAATAATATCTGAGGAATGGACTCAGCCAGCCCAGTGGCACTCCCAGCTTCATTTTGCTTTTGGACCAACGTTTGCTGAAGCACCAGATCCTGGTAAGTTTTACTTCAGGCAATATTCAAGATTTTGCCATTTTTTCCCACCCAGTATCTCAAAAAAGCTCCATGATGAGCAAACTATTTCCTGCCCACCTTTATTGTTTCTGCTGTAACTTTACTCTTGTACATTTCCTAGTTATAACTCGAGTATTTTTAACAGAAGTGAGCCACTTCGAATATTTTCTCCGCTCTTGGTGGAAACCAGCTGAGGGAAACCCCCTAAAAGTGGTCCTTAATCAGAGTCCTGTGAAAAACAAGGATTGTTGTTGTTGTTTTTATGATAAAAAACACTGTGGTATTAAAAAAATAATCCAAATATGTGATTTTTTTTTCCCCTGACCTTTCCGGCATGGCTGTGTGAGAGCTCTACCAAGGGCAGAGGCAGAAGTCGCTGAAGGCAGTGTATTGTGGAACAATTTTCTAACAGAATAGGGCAGAAACTGAGAAATGAGCACTGGCTCAGCTGAAAAGCTCAGGTTAAGTGCTAGAACAAAAGCCCATTGAAGAATTAATTTGTAGACCTTGCAAAGAGTAAGGGAATGAAATCTCGCTAAATGAGTTATTCATATTTTTCCCTAGCAGGAGTAAGCATGAGCTACTGAATGGTAGCACAATGATGCACTGATCTACCTGCAGTGCATTAACTGGCTCATTTATTCTGAAACAAGGTTGTGGGTAACAAGGAGCTTCATTAAATGCTGATCTCAAAAAAAAAATAATAATAAAAAATAAAAAAAGTGGCTTTGGCCCACAGGCCCACATTTACCTTTTTCAGACCCTCCTGGGGGTACTGAAGTTTACTGGAGCTAGGAAGGATGTCTTAGGAAACCTGGTGGTGTGGGCAGGCCAGGTGGTCCATCTCCTGGGGGTGCAGATTCCTGAAGCTGCCGGTGCATTTTGCTCCTCGCAGCACATTGGATCTGGTTCCCTGTCATCAGCTGAGCTACCTACATTGTTCTGATTGGATTTGGCACCTGGAAAAAGCTTTCTTTCAAGAGTGAGAGAGCAGCAGTACTGTGTAGTGCAGCTGGCATCATCCTAGGAGTGAGAAAGAGGGCTGGCAGAAAACAAAAGTTTGACCTATATAGAAAGATCCATCTGTTTATGGGAATGTTTCTTAGAGTTAGCTTCTACACCCACTTTACCTGTTGGTGTTGTTCTGACAGCTTAACAGAAATTGTCTGGTTTTGCCAGAAAGGGTCTTTTTTTTTTTTCCCTGCTGCAACCTTTCTGCCAAGATTACTGCCTGAAGCGTTGTGCTGGGGAAGGCTGAGCCCCCAGACCTACCATCCTTGTATGGTTTTCAGCAGCATACTGAGTTCCCTTAAGGCTGTTCTGCTCTTTTTTTTTTTCCTTTTTTTTTTTTCTCCTGTCAGCTGCCTGCATTTGACATCAACCATTGTATTAATAAATAGACCTTTCCCCACACCAATCAGGCAAGCATATGGAATATGGAGCAATAAATGACAAAGCAGCCCCACATCTTTCATACCGTCGTTGGCCTTCATGTCTTGCAGGAGAGAATTTCCTCCATCTGGTTTCACCATGGCTGAATGATCTTCAGTATTAAATGCAGGGCAAAAGTGAAAGATCACAACACCAGAATCCTCTGCACGTAACATTACAAATGACTCGCCTGCAAATGGAATGAAATGTCAGAAGATGATATCAAATAAATGAAGATATCACCACAACTACTCATGTGGAGCATAACGTCTCAGACCTTCTCTCTATTATTTCAAAGGCACTCACATTTCAAAAGAGTGGGTTTTTTTCTCCTCATCACAGAGAAAACTGATGCTGTAGAATTGAAAACACAATTGTGGTGCATGCTGTGTGAGAAGCAGCCACTTGCTGCCTTGGAAACCTTGAAAAGACTTTGTCTCTGATTCTAGTTTCTCTTTCTCTCACCCTCTAATTATGTAAGCCCCACTCATTTAGATTTGGATTCAGCATGCTTTTCTTCCTGGTATCCATTACACCATTAGTCGGTTGCAATGTCAGAATGACCTGGTGGGAGGGTGAAAACCATCACGGGCTGATTGAGGAAGCTGGGTGTTGTTCCTGGATGAGCCTTCCTGTAAGTGGGATACAATGGAAGAGATTCTCCGCGTCAATTGTGGTGCCAGTGTGATGGCAACAGCCACGCCACCTGCTCAGCCATCGGGGTAGCTGAGCTGGTAATTTAGATGTAATTGGGCACCACTGAGTCTATTTAATGGGGCCCCTGATAAATAGCTCTCCTGCCTAATTGGTGCAGTTACCATAGAAGGGACTGGCCCAGAGTGTGGAGCAATACAGGCACCTTACTCCCACTGAAATCAATTATGCTGAAATCAATGAGAGTTAAACAGCTGAATAGCTTTAAAAATCTGGACCTCGGTGCACCCCAGAGCTATAATTTATCAAAACACCAAATAAATGGCATGCCTAGTTGATTTCAATGGGTGTGATAGGTTTATGGGAGTTATTACTGGAAAGCCCTCAGCTTTTAATAGATATTCCCTGTTATTTCTCCAGAATCTAAGTCTGTTGATGTGCAAGTGCAATGAAAATGATTCTGCTTCAGGAAGGCTATCAGGGTGGAGTACAGCATATCTTGATTTTGGCCAGGGAAGGGATACTGGATTAGACAGGTCTCTACTCTCATCCCATGCAGTTCTTAGCAGGGCGATTGAGGCAAAATTCTGAGGTCCTTGCTGCATCAAAGCTCACCTGAACATCACTGGGCACAAAACCAGCAGTGACAGTAAGGATGGAGCCTTTTTTGTACACTGCAGTGTTGTAAAATCATCTGCACACAAAAATGGGAAACTACCGTGAGTGCTTTAGTTTTCCAAAGAAAAAGATTATCCAATTAGGGTGAACTGGTGCTTGCTGGCATGACCTTATTGCTCTGTTGCAGCTGCTAAGCAGAGTGAATTATCTTTTTATAACTGTTGTACGGTGCTTCAATGCTTTGTGTGTTATTGTAGGTCTCTTTGGCACCAGATACTAAACCATGCTTCAGTCCCTGTGTCCCTGAGAAACAGAGTCACATCAGAGCTGGTACTGACCGGGCATTTGCTTCTGCAGGGGTCGGTGTTTAAAAGTGCCCTGTAGTTAATGGTGTACTAGTGAATGACTGATTTATGTCCCACAGTAGGAATATGTTGTTTTTCAGTTTGGTAGTTCTATCACAACACATTTAGGTCAAACTTTCTACCTACTCTTCTATTTCCTCGTGCCCGTTGATCCTTTGACTTCAGAGTCTTTGTAGAGGTGTGAGTTGAAAAGAAATCAGGAATACTTTTTCTTGATGTGAAGGTTGAGGTGGCAGTATGCTGGATGCCCTCAGAGGATAAATGGCCAAACTCTGCCTCGCTGCAATGTCCCTAGGAATCCCAGCACTGTCAGGATCACAGCAGGGTCATTTGCAGGCTCTGATGGATGAAATGAATTTGCTCATTTATCAGAGCATTTTCATGATGCCTCATAACCTGCTAAACCAGATGCCGAGTATCAGTCTTTTAGAGAGTGACAAATAATCTCAGTGCTGAGATGACTTCATGTTGCTAATTGGGCTGCTGATGTGGTGTCAAAGACATCAGGTTCTGGCACCCGTACTTGATGACAATATGAAAACTCTGTGGTGATCTACATACTGGCTCAGTGACTGACTTTATTCTTTCCTGCTCAGAATAGCAGTATTTCCTCACCCCTCCGGTGAATGACATGTTTCTCACATTTTTGTGGCGCAGCTTGGTCAAAAGGCTTGAAGGTGTGAAAGAAAAGTAGCAACAAAAAGTTGCATCACTCCTTCCCAACATAACTCATGCTGGCACTGTTTATATTGTCCTTGTTAAACACGCCAGCGTGCTCTTGAGTTTGCTGTGCTGAGTGGCAAAATCTGCTCGCAGCTGTGCTGCCAAGGGTAAGCCAGGCTTTTTCTCTGCCTATGATACCCAAATGTCTTCACTTAGCAGCCAGTTGGTTTGCCCCAGCCTTGAGCCAGGCAGCAGGCACTAAGGAGACAGTGGAAACCTGCTCAAATGTGAGCGTAAGCCCTAGCTGCAACAACAGCATGGATGTGTTTTACCATCCCCAAAATCCTGCATTGCACTGAAGGCAGCTAAAATGCAAATAGGCTCTAGTACTGGAACACTTAATTCCATGTCAGGAGAGATACAAGGCCTTGGGAAAAGCCGTGAGATGCCTCTTAGTCCTTTGGTGTATTTGGAAATAGGACGTTGAGTTCCTGCTTAAGATCTACCACTGAAAGTTTGGTGCAACTGATATATAGATGCCTCCAAGAACGGTTCGGATAGATTTGCTTTCTCAAGGACGCCTGGAAGGGGCACATTTGCAATGACAGCTGTGTATGTTTAGTTGTGCATGCTTTTCTTTCTTTCCTTCTCCACCATAACTTTCTTAAGGTTTCCTTAAGGCAGCAGGCATGCTCTTCAGTACGGTCTGATCTGCTATTCCATGAGCTAATCTATGCCACGTGGATCCAGTGGCAGCAATGGAGCAGTATCCATCAATATCTTGTCTATTTATGATGTAACACATCCACAAAATTCGTACAAGTCCTCCCCAGCTCTACTCGCAACAGGCCCCAAGCATTGCTTTCACTCCCTTTTTACCTTGCTTCTGAAGTGATATGTTTCTGTCACTGGGAAACATTTTTGTGAATTTCTGTATTTCTTAGAATGACCTTGCTGGCATTTTGACCACAGTATGTGAGAGACCTGAAATGCTTGCAACCTAGCAAATATGAATTTAATAAATATGTAAATCAGTCTATGTTTATTTATAGCCTGGCAGAACTCAAAAGTCCAGATTCTAGCCAAAAACACTCTATCTGTCACTTCAAGTGGCCTAACACCTCTGTATCTCAAACACCAGGAGATCAACACTGATAAAAAGAATATTTAAAAAAAACAGCACCATCACCAAAAAGACAATTAAATTACCTATCATTTCCTCCTGTGTAGGTACTGAGTACAAGCTATGACTTACATAACTCACAGAAACTCAATTTTCAGAGGTACCATTGCCCTGTGGAAATCAGCAGGAGCTCAGCATATTGCTCAGCTTTTCTTCGTATTATTTCTTAAACACTAAATAAATATTAAAAAAAACTATATAGTCGTGGATAGAGACTCTGTGTTTCTGCAACGTTCAAATGTCATTCAGACTTTCTACCTCTGCCAACATGAAGTTTTTTTCCCAGTCAAAACGTCAAAGCTGAAATTTTGAGGAAGCTCCTCTCCAACAATGTGCTATGGGTTTGGCACAGTCAAGAAGTTTAAGGGCATATGCATATTGTCTTGATTTAATTTATAGCATGACCTAATTTTATCAAACTAATTATGGACTCTGTGATGGTTTACATTTTCCCTTACTTAACTTAAGATTAAATCACCAGGTAACTGATTTATGCTGGAATACGAAAACACAATTTTAAAGTAGCAAAAGCAACTTGACGTGATTGGAAAGAGCACTTCAACTTATAACTGGCTTAGTTACTGTAGGAAATTTGTGCGTAGACTAATCTTAGGAAGTTTAAAGGCCATTCCTTTCTGGAAACCATTCACCAGTGATGAAGAAGAAAGTTGCCCTCCTCTCATGTTCTGAATGTTCTTATGAGGTGTTAATGAAGCATTTCATCCTTTAATGGGACCACTGGGATTGCAGTTGTCTATATTTTACTTTAATTGTTGTTCATTTTCCAGGGATCAATACTTAGTTCCTAGAAAAGTTGCAAAAAATTCCAGTAATGTAAGGCAGAGAATTACTATGTACCTCGACAATTAATATATAGGTAATGAAACCAACTCCACAGTGCGAGCCAATTTAAAATTCTCTACAACATTGATCTTCCTTTCCAGATGCAGAGGGGGGAAATAATCATGTTGTGTAGCATAAACCGTCAAGATAGAGCAGAGCCCCGGCAGCTTATCACATATATGTTTTGGACTCAGTCAGTCATTTAACAGCACTGCTTCAGTGGTGCTTTGGGTGAGATAAAAGAGCCAGCACACGGGGCAGAGAGGCCACCAGTATCGCAGAAATTGATGCCAGGGTTTGTTGCCACCAACACTGCTTGATGCTCTCAAGAAGAGAGCTTGCATTTAATACAAGCAGCAAAGACTTTTCTGTCATCAGTTTGATGTCCAGTTGCCACTACTTGAGAGCTTGGCATGAACAAAGGCTGCAGGATTTAAGCACTTTAGAGTGCACTTGCTACACATTTTTAAAATGCCTCTATATCTTCTGAGCTGTGGTAGTCTGTTTTTTTTTTTTGGCTGGATATCTTTAAGTACAAGAGGCTGCTATAGGATATTTTTACTTGTATCAGGAATGACTGGGACTGCATTTGAGTAGAAAACAGACTGCTGGGGGAAAACCCATAATTTCCATGTGTATGATTGTTATTTCTGTTCCCAGACCAGGTCCATCACTATCATCTGGCTCTGTGAACTGTACAGTTTTGTATGGAAAACGTGCTTTTCCTTTTCTACCTCAAACCATCCAGAGGAGAAGCTGATCTTAGTTGCTGTGTAAAGTGTAGTAGTGCAGGCTGGAAATTTTCAGATGGATTTTTTTTTTCCTCATCAAAAATTTGCAAAATCAGTGAAAAAGAAACTCCCCCATTTGCTGGAATTCCTGTGCAAATCCACCAGGTCTCTGAAACAACCTTCCTTACCACATTTAAACCCTGCCTGGTTTTCTGCTGGGCTGGCACCTCAGGAGGCCTTCTGGCAGCCCTGGTAATGCTTTGCTTGGCAGCTGCTCTATTTTAGAACAGTTTTTATTAAAAATTATGGCACGTACCCCAGAATGAGAATTTCATCTTATAAAGTATGGAACTGCACTGATGTGGTGGTTGTGTTTCCATAACTTCCACAGCATGGTTGCTAAATGTCTGTGTAAAGATTCTCCCCAAATCACTGGGAGATTTCAGTCAGACACATGATTTTCATGCATCGGTTGTTGTTAACAATAATTGTTTGATTATAGCTGAGAATATGCTGGATACTACTCCACGTACACAAAACAGAAGCACTTGTAAGGTGTGAAATGAAGGTATAGAGCGTATTGGATGTTCCTGCAAAACTGAGCTTGGTGACAATCTGTCATTCAGAAGAGAGGTCAGAGAGAGCCTCAACTGTTTGCCTGGACCAAAGCAGGTGTGCTGAATGGAGGGGCAGATCTGTGATCATGAAGGCACATCAGTTTCAGTGGAATCCCAGGTATAAAAGCCAGAAGGGAGAAGGCCTAAGACAGGGTCAGTAAGATCCCTTTCCAGCCTTCTCCCCACAAGGCAGGAGTGCCACTCCGGCCAATGCTCTGCATCGTTTCTCCTCTCTATTGCTCCCAGCTCTGCTCCTGCTTTTTCACAGTCCATATGCAGTACAGCATCCCTTGCAGGCCAGAAATGGTTTCTCATTGTTGCTTGTGAAAATCAGATGATTTGTGCCCCATTGTAATGGAAATAGCGAAGCGCTCAGTGCTCCTATAGCCATCCGAGCCTGAGAGGAGAGCTGGCAACTTCCCCTGACATTGCCAAAAAACTCTCTGTGTTTCCTCTGCTAAGTGATGCTGTGGACAGAAGCCCCAAGACCGTTCTCCCTGTCAGTTCCAGAGACAGGCATTTCAGGGAGATGCAATTAATCTCTTGTGATTACTTTTTCTTTTTTTTTTCCTAACAACTAATTGCAAAGCAATCAGGCTGAGGGGAGGGAGAGCAGGGCGGCAGCACAGGTGGCTGTGACGAAGGGGACTGTCAGCCCCAACGCCTGGCAGAGTTAAGCTGGTGCTACATCACCTGTGAGTTTCAGTTACCAGAGCACTATATTTTGATACACGGTAATTATGCTTCCACCTCACTTTTTGTCCCTTTCATTTGTTGCTGCCATTGAATTTCAGGCATTATGTGTCACGGTAGAGAAAGACTTGAGAAATCCATTAAAAGCTTCCACAAAGAGAGCAATTTTTCAGACAAATGCACAAAGAAGGAACCGGTCCCCTCCAATGATTAATACCAGTACCGATTCATCAAGCCAGGTGCCAGGCTCTGTGGTAGGAGAGGAGCATTAAGGGCTGTGATGAGTAAGGCCTTCTAGGCCTGAGCCTAGAAACTAAATACATCAGCAAACGCCCAGGCAGCAGCTAGCAGAAACACAACATTACCTTTAGTCCCTGTATTATTAAAACCCCTATTTTCACTAGCAGGCTGCAGTTGCCAACCCATCATCAATCTGCCCACGGAGCCAGTTCTGTAAGCACCGCTGGGTCAGTTCTGACCCTTTGGGTTGTTGATATCTCACCCTCAGGGAGATTCACATCTCTGTATCTGCGTGGGAGTTTTGGCTGAGAGCATCTGAGGTCTTTAGTCAGCCAGAAGTGTAACCAAGCTACGATCACACCCAGCTATAGATCAGGTACCGGTGGTGAAGTTAATCCACTGGTTGATGTGCATTAGAGAGATCAGGAGGTCGTTGGTTGTGGTTTTCACGGGGAGCTGAGTGGCACTAGTTCGCTACTTCGTATGCCATCAGCAGCACGGTGACCCCCCAGTGTTCAAGCAGAAATCCCCCTCCCTAAAATGTCACTTCTCATCTCCTTCTACCGAACTTAATTTTACACTGCACAAAGTGATGCCCCAGATTTCCAACACAGAGAGCTCCTGTTAGGTCAGAGCTCTGTGTGTTTTATCATGGGAGCTGGAGAATAAACTTTTTGACTGTGACTAGGGTGAGTGATCTAGTGTTCTCAGATATACTTTGAGTACGTGTGCTGTGGGGTTTTCCTCCTCACAGCCTCCTTCCCAGAGAAGGGAGCCATGGGGAATGAAACAGCTCTGGCATCCTGCCAGCCTCTGCTCCTGAGCCTCCTGCTCTGATCCCACATAAGCCAAATTCTCCTTGAAGTTGCACTTGGGTAATTCCATTGAAATCAATACAATTTTTACAGTGCGATCAAGAAGAAAACTTGTAATACAAGTTTTTTTTAAGATATACTTACTTTATTGTCTCTCTCTTTTTTCTTCTGGCTAAAGACATATTTAGAGCATTCTCCTTCCTTCTTGCTCTCTTGTGTGTACTCTTTTTGAAAAATTCCATTCTTGGAAACGTCTAAAAAAAAGGCAAAAAAAGATGAGTTGAGTGACTTTTTTTTTTCTTTTGCTTTCCCTAAGAGCTCTCCCCTGCTGAAGGGCCTGCAACAAGTAAAGAGAGGATGTAGTAATCTGATTCTGCCTTCAGACACATGTAATTCTAAGGTGAAGGCATGGGTGCCCTTAAGATGCCAACCTCAAAGTGAATGCCATTTCTATCAGAGTAACAAAGGGAATATTAACCATTCCCTAGTGATGGAAACCTAAGCTACAGAGAAATGAAACAATGCACCCCTAGTTACACACACACAGCCACAGAGCATTTTGACCACCAAGCCATGGATTAGCTCGTTGACCACTGGCAAATCCTTCCTTTCGGTTAGTCTGCTGCTAATAGGAGTAAGCCATAATGCTGGTTTCCATCCAGAAGCCTCTGGTGAGCCAGTGTTAATCTTGAGCTAAACTGATGTATTTGATCTCTCATTGCAAAGATGTGTTTTGACATTATGCAGACATAAAATATCTCACCAGCATCTATTCTCATGAATGAGAGAATCTACTAATGGAAACTCCATCTCAGTCCAGAGAGACAAAATAATCCAGCTGTGGATCAGTCTCCCTAATGCACAGAACAATCTTATGCTGTATTTTCTGCCAGATGAAGATACGTTGTACAGAAAGGATGTCCATGTTACAGCCCAGCATGGGCCAGCGCCCCCCAGTAGTTTCTGTTTTGTTGATTTAGACATCAGCAGCATCATAAATGACAGCAGCAGGAAATTCAGCTAGCTCTTGTAATCTAAATTCTCATACAGGACCCTGCATGTGTTTGCTGAAGCCCATAACATGGAAATCACGCTTTTATCAGAGCCTAGGATAACTAAGCATGGTAGCACAAAAAAAAAAAAAAATGTAGTTACTCATGACACAAAACACAAAGGATCAGGGGAGTTCTGCACCCCCACTACATTCCTGTAGTCTTTAGATAATTTCTCTTTTTTATTGTTAATTTTATTTCAGAGTTTTACAGCTCTCTAAGTGCACAATATTGAACATATAATGGTTCATTTAATTTAGAATAAAATCTATAATCCACTGACATGTAACCAAGTCTCGGAACTTGCATCCTGCAGCAAGTCAATCTTTCCTTGCTGTCTGGTGTTTAAAAGCTACATACCACAAGTAATCACCAACCTTCTTGACTGTTATTCCTAATGGAAAAAGGAAGGACTTGGGAAGATACTGCTTTAGGAAGAGCGAACTCCACTTTCCTTAAAATGTAGTGTAAGCGTCTTTCTCTTTCCCTACAATGTTGCTTTAGTGTCTTTCTTTTACTTCTCAAAGTTATTCTACCTCTAAAAAGCAAGATTTTTGTTTAAGGAGCAGAGCGTATTTCTCCATAGCCTGTCCTCAACTGGGCACTGTGTTTAATAGACAAAGTAAAACACAGAGTAGAAAGCTCATTTTTATCAAAGTTTATCCTCTCTTGACAGATTATAGTAGGAGATCTACTTTGCAGCTGAGCCACTCCAGGCTTTAACTTGAGACTTCTCTCCCTAAGAAAGTTTAGATTTCTCCATTGTTTTCTACCTGGTTCTTCCATGGACACAACTCTTCACAATACTCGTTCTTCATCAGTGAAATTGTCTCAAGAAAACAGCATTAACAGGATGTTGAGATTCAACAGTCAAATGCTCAACATGTAAGATACACACTGAATTCAGTTTCTCTACCCAATTTTAATTCATATCTATGTGAATTTTGAATAAGGAAAAAAAACAACACACATTGTTCCCCCCTACGGGCTCTGATCTGAAGGGGGTCTTATGAGGAAAATCATTCGGCAGCTTCACTATAAATATCACCTCTAATTCTGCCTGTAATGAGAGTATCATTGTTCTCCAGATAAAATGCTGTGGTGTCTTTGTGAAGCATTAGATATGAGCTATCATTACTGCATAGACACAGAGTGTTATTAGTGTATCAAAGCATGTTTCTTGTTCTATCATCTGTAACCTTCTATTCGATATTTCACCAGATCTCCAGGGAGGGTCCCTTTTCAGGCTGTGATTCAGACTCCACGCCAGCAGAGCACAGCTAACTGGGAGATGACAAATGTTTGCTGTTGGACCGCTGAAGATGGTTGTGATTCTGGATCCCAGCTGTCTTCTAGGATGACCAATATATTTTGGCTGAATGACATAATTAAATGCATGACTAAAATTCTCCTCACAGCCTCTATTCTTTCCCCACGCAACCACAGATCTCTGAACTTTGCTTGCACTGTGCTGTTAAAAAGTTAGCTATTTTCTTCCCTTAGGAAGGATGAAGTTGACCAAGTGAACTTTTGCTTCTTCCAGAGATCACAAGGGGGATCTGTCCTTCAAAATACTGGTGGACATTTCCTAACAGGCAGGTGTTTCCCTATGAGATCCTTGTATCATGCTTCCCACCACCCAGGTACGCACCGGGGGTCTTCCTTGAATATCACTGGGTGAACTTCAGATAACAAAGCTGCTTGAGATGACCTTGTGAACAGTTTACAGGAAAAATAAAAAAGTTACCCATTAATTTATTTTGGTTAGAGTGGTTATACAAGCTTATGCACTTATTTTGCCTCACAGAATCTTTTCAAGCACCATTAGTTTTCATCTAACAGGAGACACATTTCTACCTGGGCATGAAAACCCCTCCCAGCTGCACCAAAGCCTTCACAAACTATAAATGACCTCGCCTAGTGCTCTCTACCCATGTCCAGTATTTCTGCTGATCGCTAACTCCTCACCCCCTTCCATTTCTCCTCCAGAGCATTACCTCTGTGGTGCTGCAGAGATGATGCTCTGGGGGCCAGCAGATGCTGTAGGGTGATTGTAGTGGTGAGGCTTTGAGCTTCCCAGCATGGCAGCCTGAAGGAGGCTCAGCTGAAAGTCCCCTGTGACCACACACCAAGAGCACCCCGCAGACTTGCTCCCTTCCTGGTGATAAGGAAAAAGCCATGAGAGCTGAGCTTGGGTCCCCAGAGCTGCAGCCTTCCTTCTCCCTGCGAAAGTCACTGCCCAGTTCTTACCATCAGATGGACTTTGATGGCCCGGCACCTCCCTTGTATCAAAAAAAAAAAAAAAAAAAAAAAAAAAAGCATAATATACAAAACCCCTACATCAGCATTTTGAGAACGTTTTCCAATAAAATAAATCAAATAAAAATAGAAGGAAATTTCCAAGTGATAAAATTGGCCCAGCCTGTCAGTGCTGCTGCACTAAAACAATCAGTCATACCTGGAAGCTAAGCTCCCATGAAAGGCAATTGCATCCTCACGTTGGTAATGCTTTTTGTCATTGCAGTATGTCTTTAAGGTACCTCCAGCCCAAGTACGGCTAGTTTAACATAATCTCTTCTGATAGCAAATAGGAATTTTAACTGTAGTCAAAAGGGCTTGACAGTGTTGCCTTCATTTTTGTGCCATCCACACTGAGGAGCTAAGCAGAAAAATATCAAGAACAATGCATCAGCTGGCTTATATTGTCACAAAGAGTTCAAAAAAAGATTCCCACTACTACTTTCTGGTGCCACCCTCATTAAATCCCACTACCCTGGAGCATGATTAGTGTACACACAGACAAGACAACATTCAGGATAACACAGTGAACTAGCAATAGCTACTCTTTGAGTAATTCCGAGTCATCCCTGATTATCTGGTGCATGATCAAGGAAGGAAACAAGCAAAGCCAAGCTGTTTTATGCTCCCGATGCAATATACTCTGCCAAATTCGGGCTACCGCGACTCCATTGTCCTCAACACTGACTACAATGGCTCTACATCAAGGAAGAATTTGGATTAGTGTGTGCTGAGGAATTAGCGTCTGCCAAAATGAAACAAAGCAAACAGTGGGAAAGGCATTATTTGGATTCATTTTGTGATGTGACGTTTTGTAAGTTCCCTTGGAAACAGTTTGGTGTTTGACATCTGATGCTTTCTAAATACATTGCTGTGTTTGTAGCATTTTTGAAGGAGAACCTCTAATCATCATGACCTCTTTAATGCACCACAATGAAAGCTGACTGTACCAATAAATCATAACTCATCTTATTCTATTCTCATTGATTTTGGTGGAATAAGGACTCAGCCCAAAGGAATAAGACCATGTGAATATTTGGTTAGTTTCCTATCACCTCTTTCTCAGTTCATTACTGCTTTGCTTTCTGCTCTGATGACTGGTCATGAAAGGCAATTTAGTAAATAAATCTGGTGAAGGAATCGTGTTCTCGTTATATGTGAGAAAACTGTTTGTGTTTCATCTGCAAAGAGATTAGTAGGGTGTTAAATCCTACAAAATATGTAAACAATATGATACTGGGTTTGTCCCCGATTGGTTGAGAATAATCCAAAAATTTTGACTTTCAGGAACAGGTATTTCTAGCTATGTTAAAATACACTTGCTGGGAGATTATACATGTATGTAGTGGTCCTGGGGCAGAGACCATGAAATGGCATAGCTTCTCCTCGTTTTAACTTATCCTAGGCTGGCCTCACAGTCCATGCCACAGCTCCATAGTCTCAAGCACTTCATGGAGTTGGGGATAAAATATCAGGGTGCAATAGGAGAATTTACTTGCAAAATGATTTTCACAGCAACAAGGTGCGAGACAGCTGGCTGAACAAAAAGCATTGGCTGCCACAACGAACTAACTTTAATTTCCCCCACACTTTGCTTTTTCAGTTTACTGGACTTAGTACTCAGGCTCAGAAAGATGGATTATTGGAAAATAGGCTCTGGCAACCAATGAGGATGCTGAATGCGTTTGATTGGGTTTCTATTTAAGGGGGCACATTCTCTAGAAAATCAAGTCTCACTCCTAGTTTGAGACTGTGATACCAGCTTATCAGCTGGGGGGATAAGGAGGATGGGTAACATTTTCATCAGCTGCTAGTGGTACAACGACCCCTGAATTTGAGGGAATAATTGCTCCAGCTAGCTTAGATTTGAAAATGGAGAAGATTTGACTCACAAGGTACCAGCAAAGGAAATTTTGGTTTTAATTGGGAAGCAGCAAGGAGAAAACTGATTGTCCCGTGGCTGTTGGTGCGACCTCACTACCTGAATCATGGTGACTTAGGACATTAGCATGAAGCTGCACTGACAGCACCAGCTGTGTGCAAACCTGCAGCTCCTGGTGGGGAAGGAGAGAGGAGGTAGCTGGGACTTTGTTGAGACGTTGCTTTGAAAATTTACCAACCCAAGTGCTACCTTAAATCTATAGTGCAGTAATGGTGTTGAACAAGGCAGGGACATTAAAGCACTGGCTTAAATCTTGGATTGCCCTAATGCTATTAAATAGGACGATCGCAAATCTAGCACTTGGTCTTGATTAATTATGTGAGAAGGATATGCTGGACTGACCAGTGCTGTCATAGGCAAATTGCTTATTAAAAAGGTTATGCTCTTTTCTTTCCCTTCCTAAATACCTCCTAAATGCTCCATCAGCTCCATTTGAATGGAAAGAGGAGATGTCATTGAGGTCACCTGCAGGCGAGTATTCCCCCAGGACAACCTGCAGGCTTTCTTCTATTCCTGGCCATGCCAGGGCAGCAGAATCTACCTTCTCTATGGGAATTGCAAAGCAAAAGGCAATCCCTTTCCACCAAGCAATGCTTTATATTCTTAAGTTGTGCCTGTTTTATAAGGTGAGGAGCAGGTACCTACAGTGCTGGATTGTGCTGGAGAGGATGAGGGGTAAGGGATGCTTTGCTAAGCACTCCTAAACAGAGACTTCTGTTTTGTGTTTTGCTGGTAGCTCTCTAGCAGCAAATCCTTCTACTGTAAGATGGGAAGTGAAGGGTATCAAAAGCTGCAGAAACATAGGGCTTATCCACAACTGTTTCTGGCATCTCTGCCATTAGAGATCTGGAAGGAGAAGGAAACCAGCCTCATGTTCAATCCACACTGCTGGACAAACACATTTTTCTTTTCCTATTCTCATTCTGCCTCCCCTCCTCTCGTGAAGTTTGCCTGCAGAGAGGATGCCAATATTCTTAGATGCTGTTTTCACAAAATAGAGCAGAGCTGCTAAAATGTTTCGACTAGTTAGAAAAACATATTTTCCTGAGAAATGCAGTTAAGATTTGTTTGAAGCTTCTGAGAAGCTTAATGAACCATGGCAATGCCTGTAGCTTTTCCACATTTGAAAACTTTTGTTGCTAATTAACTTCATTAATAGTAGTTAGAGGCACATTGGCCAATATTTACTGAGAGCTGGCGTTACTGCAAAGTGCCAATGGACTTAGTGGCTAAGCTAATGGATTCCCTGCAGAAACCTTGACCAGAATTGAACTTGTTGTGGCCAAATCATTTCTCCTTTAAAAACAAAATCCAAAAAACCCTCATTGAGGCTGTTGTTTAAAAAGCCACAAGATGCTAAATGAATAGAAGGAACTTCCTAACCCCGCTGGGGCTGTTATTGATAGCAGCATTCCCACAATGAACTCGCAGCAGGATCACACCCTCGAGCCGAATGTGGCTGCACGAGAGCAGCTCTGACTTGCAGAGAGTCTGGAAGCTCAGGGGAGGGCTCTGCAGAGGCATCTGCTCCCAAATGAGCCCAGCTCTGCTCGGTGGCACCGAGGGACATGGCTGGGGAAGGGGGGGGTATGGCTCCGGGCGCCTGGCCTGTTTTGTTCTGCTTGGATGACTTCAGTTGGGCAAAAGTTGGGACAATTCAGCATCCCTTATGTAGCCATGGGGTATACCCCCTGTGCAGTGAGGTAGTAGTGCTTCGTGAGATCACCCTACCAAAAACACTGCTTCTCATCGGGTGAGGTGTTGCATTGACTCCTCTGTCCCCTACACTCATGCCCTCTAGAAGTGCAAAGCTCTTTCAAGGGCACAGCAAGGTCAAATCCATCTAACTGGACATTGCTGCCCTAACCAACCGATCTCCTGAGAAGCTGCTGTTACCATTAACAAACAAGCAGCTGGAACTATTTCTTCCCCAGATTTTCACACATTTCTCCTCTTTATTCTCTTCCTTTATCATCTTTTACCTCTTTCTTAACCCCTCTTATTTACAGTATATCCTTCAGGGGACACTGTTGAGCTATCCACTATAAAACTAAAATATGAACATCGAGGTTGGTATATGTATGAAAATAGATGAGTCTCTTTGACTTAGATTTCTAGTCAGTCTCTCCAGATTATTGTGTTCTACAAAGGGACTTCTACTGAGCAGAAAAATGTTTAAACTAAATTTTCTTTTTAAAGTCACATGAGCATTTCTATTGGTCTGAGGGTTCTCAGATGCTTCTTTCCAACCCTTTTGACTTTTATTCCACTGACAGGATTTCAAGATGCTCTGGCAACTGCTGAAAAAAAATAGTTGAAGGCCCCTGGGATATGAATCTTCTCCTTCAGCTTTTGCTGCAATTCTTCTCTCTTTTTTGACATGAGAATGCAAAATCACAAGGGACTGCTGAGATGGCGAGGGCATCTAAAAGAGGAGGAATAGCTTAGTAGGCAATTGCTACAGGAGCAAGGAGATTTGTTAAAGCTTCCTTATGACCATGCTATTATCCACAACACCAAATTCTCTTTGGTCTTGTACAAGAAACATATCCCTTAGTATCTTACATCATGGATTGCTGAATTTCTGTTGAGAATATTTTTTATATTAATTCCATTTTCCATGAGGGTAGGATATGGGAAAAAGCTAGAAAGAGAAAATCCTCATTTAATACCCTGGTTTTAGGGCATTGCTGAGGGTCCCCATGTGCTCGGTGTAGGTTGGGCTCAGCCCCTATGGTTAGCCATGCACTGTTCCCGCAAATCTTAAATAAAACCAACCCAGTACATTTTTCTTTGGGAAAAAAATCCACAAAGATAAAAATGAATGAGAAAGACAAGAAAAAGAGCAACTAAGCCTTAAGGGGATATCTGTAGCAGGAACAGGGGAATAAGCCACTAAGGGAGGATGCACACCCTCCCACACTGGAGATGTCAGAGAATGTTTTGTTGGAGCAGCTTTCATAAAGCTGAGGTTCCTCAGTGCCCTGCTGCCTATCACTGTGGCTGGGATCACACTCAAGGCCTCCATGAAAAATGGGATAGGCTTGTGCACGAAAGGAAGGAAGGATCTCCAGGGAGCAGCATTCCTTCCCACATTTTCATAGGGTAAAAAAAAAAAAACTCTTTTTTTCTGAATAAAGTGTTTGATTTTCTTGAATGTGGGGACCTCATGGGTAAATGTCTAGTACCTTAATTAATAACTTAACAGCCAAGATTCATGCTGGTACTTTCTTAGACAAGAATGGAAAGATCAGTATTAAACATGGTTTTAAATTATAAAGAAGGTATATGGAAGGCAGACAGGAACTTAGGAAATGACAGTGCTTTTATGTAATGTATCAAAATGAGTGAAAAAGCATCTCTGTGCAAAGACCAGAAGGAAGGAAAAAACACTTGAATTGCTATCTCAGGGCCCAGGT